AAATACAGGCAGTCCCCGGGTTACATGGATCCGACTTACATCGGATCCCTACTTACAAACGGGGTGAGGCAATCCCGCACTAGCTGCTTCCCCCCCAGCAGACCAGGGAGATGCGGAGTGGCTTTTCTCAGCAGACACCTCAGCTTGAGAATAAAGCCTGAGGGAAGTGAGGTGTGGGAGAATAAAACTGAGCTCTGGAGAAATGTTTGGCTAGAGTTTCCCCTACAATAGACGCCAGTTCCGACTTACATACAGATTCAACTTAAGAACAAACCTACAGTCCCTATCTTGTACGTAACCCGGGGACTGCCTGTATTCATGTCGTCAGGGTCTGATGAAATGCATCCTAGAATTCTCAAGGAGCTGATTGAGGAGATATGAACCATTAGTGATTATTTTTGAAAAGTCATGAAATATGGGAGAGATTCCATAAAACTGGAAAAGAGGACATATAGTGACCATCTATTTAAAAAAAAGGGGAAATAAGGACAATCTTGGGAATTAGATCAGTCATCTTAACTTCTGTACCCTGAAAGATAATGGAGCAAATAATTAAGCAATCAATCTGCAAACATCTAGAACAGTGGTGGGCAATAATTTTTGCAGGGGGGCAACTGAATGACTTTTGGTATATAGAATCATAGAATAATAGGACTGGAAGGGACCTCGAGAGGGCATCGAGTCCAGCCCCCCGCCCTCAAGGCAGGATCAAGCTCTGTCTACACCATCCCTGACAGATGTCTATCCAACCTGTTCTTAAATATCTCCAGAGAGGGAGATTCCACCACCTCCCTTGGCAATTTATTCCAATATTTGACCACCCTGACAGTTAGGAATTTTTTCCTAATGTCCAATCTAAATCTCCCCTGCTGCACTTTAAGCCCATTACTCCTTGTCCTGTCCTCAGAAACCAAGAGGAACAAATTTTCTCCTTCCTCCTTGTGACACCCTTTTAGATATTTGAAAACCGCTATCATGTCCCCCCTTAATCTTCTTTTTTCCAACCTAAACAAGCCCAGTTCATGAAGCCTGGCTTCATAGGTCATGTTCTCTAGACCTTTAATCATTCTTGTCGCTCTTCTCTGTACCCTTTCCAATTTCTCCACATCTTTCTTGAAATGTGGCGCCCAGAACTGGACACAGTACTCCAGCGGAGGCCTAACTAGTGCAGAGTAGAGCGGCAGAATGACTTCACGAGTTTTGCTTACAACACACCTGTTGATACAACCTAGAATCATATTTGCTTTTTTTGCAGCAGCGTCACACTGTTGACTCATATTCAACTTGTGGTCCACTATGACCCCTAGATCCCTTTCCGCCATGCTCCTTCCTAGACAGTCGCTTCCCATCTTGTATGTATGGAACTGATTGTTCTTTCCTAAGTGGAGCACTTTGCATTTCTCTTTATTAAACCTCATCCTGTTTACCTCTGACCATTTCTCTAACTTGCTAAGGTCATTTTGAATTATGTCCCTATCCTCCAAAGAAGTCGCAACCCCACCCAGTTTGGTATCATCTGCAAACTTAATAAGCGTACTCTCTATCCCAATATCTACATCATTGATGAAGATATTGAACAGTACGGGTCCCAAAACAGACCCTTGAGGAACTCCACTTGTTATCCCTTTCCAGCAGGATTTAGAACCGTTAACAACAACTCTCTGACTACGGTTATCCAGCCAATTATGCACCCACCTTATCATGGCCCTATCTAAGTTATATTTGCCTAGTTTATCAATAAGAATATCATGCGAGACCGTATCAAATGCCTTACTAAAGTCTAGGTATATGACATCCACCGCTTCTCCCTTATCCACAAGGCTCGTTATCTTATCAAAGAAAGCTATCAGATTAGTTTGGCATGACTTGTTCTTCACAAACCCATGCTGGCTATTCCCTATCACTTTATTACCTTCCAAGTGTTTGCATAGGATTTCCTTAATTACCTGCTCCATTATCTTCCCTGGGACAGATGTTAAACTGACCGGTCTGTAGTTTCCTGGGTTGTTCTTATTCCCCTTTTTATAGATGGGCACAATATTTGCCCTTTTCCAGTCTTCTGGAATCTCCCCTGTCTGCCATGATTTTTCAAAGATCATAGCTAAAGGCTCAGATACCTCCTCTATCAGCTCCTTGAGTATCCTGGGATGCATTTCATCAGGACCTGGTGACTTGCTGACATCTAACTTTCCTAAGTGATTTTTAACTTGTTCTTTGTGTATCCTATCTTCTAAACTTACCCTCTCTCTGCTTGTATTCACTACGTTAGGCACACCTCCAGACTTCTCGGTGAAGACCGAAACAAAGAAGTCATTGAGCATCTCCGCCATTTCCAAGTTCCCTGTTACTGCTTCTCCCTCCTCACTAAGCAGTGGGCCTACCCTGTCCTTGGTCTTCCTCTTGCTTTTAATGTATTTATAAAAGGTCGTCTTGTTTCCCTTTATGCCTGTAGCTAGTTTGATCTCATTTTGTGCCTTTGCCTTTCTAATCTTGCCCCTGCATTCCCGTGTTGCTTGCCTATATTCCTCCTTTGTTAGTTGTCCTAGTTTCCCTTTTTTATATGACTTCTTTTTTATTTTGAGATCGTGCAAGATCTCCTTGTTAAGCCAAGCTGGTCTTTTGCCATATTTTCTATCTTTCCTACACAGCGGAATTGTTTGCTTTTGGGCCCTTAACAACGTCCCTTTGAAATACTTCCAACTCTCCTCAGTTGTTTTTCCCTTCAGTCTTGCTTCCCATGGGACCTTACCTACAAGTTCTCTGAGCTTATCAAAATCTGCCTTCCTGAAATCCATTACCTCAATTGTGCTGGTCTCCCTTCTACCTTTCCTTAAGATCATGAACTCTATTATTTCGTGATCACTGTCCCCTATACTGTCTTCCACTTTCAAGTTCTCAACTAGTTCCTCCCTATTTGTTAAAACCAAATCCAGAACAGCTTCTCCTCTGGTAGCTTTTTCAACCTTCTGAAACAGAAAGTTGTCTCCAATGCAGTCCAGAAACTTATTGGATAGCCTGTGCCTCGCTGTGTTAGTTTCCCAACATATGTCTGGATAGTTGAAGTCCCCCATCACCACCAAATCTTGGGCTTTGGATAGTTTTGTTAATTGTTTAAAAAAGGCCTCATCCACCTCTTCCACCTGGCTAGGTGGCCTGTAGTAGACTCCTAGCATGATATCACCCTCGTTTTTTACCCCTTTTAGCTTAACCCAGAGACTCTCTCCACTGCTATCTCCTACATTCATCTCCACTTCAGTCCAAGTTCAAAGGCTGGCTCCACCCCCCCCTCCCTTGGAAGGGGCAGGATCTGGAGCAGAAGGGGCGGAGTTAGGGATTAGCCTGCCCCCTGAATTGCCTGAGGATGGAGGCTTTGAATTAAAAAACACAGCAGCGGGCCCTGCTGTTACTGTGCTATCTGGCAGCTGCTCAGGGTTACTGAGGCTATTTAAAGGGCACATGGCTGTGGCCCCTGCCGGGGTAGTGCTGCAACCGGGAGCCACAAGCCCTTTAAATAGGATCCTGCTGCCTGAGCTGCCACCTGGAAATTCTGTGACACAGACAGCAGGATTTAAATAGAAAATAGCCAGATGCAGTCCATGGGATGGATCAAAGTATTAGGTGGGCTGGCTCTGGCCCCTGGGCTACATTTTGCCCAGCTTTGATCTAGAAATATAACAGTATGGGTTTGTCACGAAGAAATTTTGTCAAATCAACTGGATGGCTTTGACAGGATAACAAGCCTTATCGATAGGGGAAAATAATTGATGTAGAATCTTGGTCTTTTAAGGGCTAAGATCTTGGTATTATATTTTCTTATCAATTTAATATCTTGACATTAGTAAAGCTTTTGATACTGTCTCATATGATGTTTTCACAAACAAACTAGGGAAATGTAAGCTAGATGGAGCTGCTATGAGGTGGATGCATAACTGGTTGGATAACTGTTCCCAAAGAGTAATTATGTTTCATAGTCATGTTGGAAGGGCATAGTGAGTGGGGTCACATAGGGATCAGTTCTGAGTCTGGTTTTGTTCAATATGTTCATCAGTTATTGATAAAATGGCATAGAGAATACACATATCAAGTTTATGGATGATACCAAGCTGGAAGGGGTTGCAGATGCTTTTGAGGATAAGATTAGAATTCAGCATGGTCTGGACAAACGAGAAATGATCTGAAGTAGTAAGATGAAATTCAGTAAGGACAAATGGAAAGTTCTCCACTTAGGAAGGAACAGTCAGTTTGACACATACAAAATGGGAAACTTACTGTCTGGGAAGGTGTACTGTGGAAAGGGATCTAGGGGTCATAGTGGACCACAAACTAAATATAAGTTAACAATGCAATGATATTGCCAAAAAAAAAAGTAAACATTGTTCTGGGTTGTGTTAGCAGGAGTGTTGGAAGCAAGACAAGAGACATGGTTCTTCCATTCTACTCAAGTTGAGGTCTAATAAGCACAAAGTATTATGTCTAATTGATGCCCCATTTCAGGACAGATATGGATACTTTGGAAAAAGTCCAGAGAGAGCAACAAAAATGATTAAAGGTCTAGAAAACATGAGCTATGAGGCAAGATTGACAAAAATTGGGTATGTTTAGTCTAGATAAGAAGATGAAAGAGGGAGAAAAATTGTTCTTCTGAACCTCTGATGATAGAACAAGCAATGATCTTAAACGCAGCAAGGGAGGCTGAGTGGACATTAGGACAAATTTTCTATTGGGATTGTACTATACGTGAATAAAATGCCTAGGAAAGTTGTGGAATCTCCATCATTGGAGATTTTTAAGAACAGGTTAGATAAATACCTGTTAGGAATGTTCTAGATAAAACTTAGTCTTGCCATGGGGGCAGGAGACTGGATTAGATGACTTCTTGAGTTCCCTTCCCGTCCTATAATTTTATAGTGTGTTTGAGCCTATGCAAGACTCTGTTGTTACTGCCACTTGATCCCAATGTCTAGAGCAAGGGTGGAGAACCTCCTGCCCGTGGGTTGGATCTGGCCTGCCAAACACTCTAATCTGGCCCTCGGGGCGGGGAGAGTGGTCCAATGGTTTTGAAACGCTGCAGGGAGCCGCCAGGGTCGCTTGAGAAATTTCCCCCAGCCTCCCCTGCAGCACAGCCAGATACTTCCAGTTCCTGTTCTGCACATGGGAGAGGCCCACATAGGAGACATGGTGGGATGGAGAAGTTCCACGTGCTGGTTGCAGCAGGGAACAGCATCTGGTAGACTGGAGCCACACGCTGCCAGCAAGGCTTCTTTAACAGTTAAGGAGGCTTGTGGGACTGGAGGGAAAGGGGGATGGGGATCCCTTGCAGGAGTGGGAGGGAAGCCTCTCCCCCCCGCCAGGCCCTGCTCTGCATGGGGTGCCTTTAGGGAGGAAGGGTTGGCCACAGCTGGGCAAGCTCCAGTACCTCTTCCCAGTGTGGGGAGCTGGGAAAAGGGAGGAAGGGGTTGCCATAGCTGGGCAAGGAAAAGCAAACTCAGCCATCACACTAAAATTCTAAATAAAATAAAAAAAGAACATTACACCACATCAGAGGGTTTTCTGGGATTTTTCAATGTGTGTGGGGTTTTTTTTTTTTTTTGCTTCTCACTTTTATGCAGCCCCTGAATGATACCTCTGGGTTACTGGCCCCCAACCCAAAAAAGGTACCCCACCCCTGATATAGAGTTGTTATATACATGACATTTCTGTTTGTGTTAATTTTGAATGCTTTAGCCTGACTTTTAAAAAGTAAACTAGCAGAATTGTATTGTAATGACAGAACCTTATGTGTCTGCTTTTTAGTGGGGAATGCATCTGTGCATAATACTGTTAACTTACTAAACTATTGCATTTACATTTAGTACGCTTTTCTTTTCTTTTCTAGCATGATTTATGTTTTGGTGAGCTCTTAAGAAGACACTCTGCAAACTTGGTTCCAGTTAAGTGCATGCAAAAGCCACAAAACAAAAGGATTCTTTCCAACGAGAATCTGTTACCAAGATTAAACTATGGAATCTGATGATCATATTTGCATTAGGGAAAAATGACTCTCCTATTTTTAAAATGTTTCCACGCTTTATACTTGTGGAAAGACTGTTTTCGTATACTTTATTGGGACGTTGAAAATAAAAAGAATTAAGTGTAAATTGCTATTAAATGATTATCTCTGATTTTGAACAGTTTTGACTTTGCACTCCATAAAGAATGGCCATAACTCTTCAAGTAGTTATTAATTATTGACTGTCCTTAGTATACTAGAATTTTTTGTTTACAGAACTTTATAGTGGCTCACTTTGAACTTTTGAAACTCTATTTAATCAGCTGTAGATTCTGAAGGACTGAAAGCTTTATGTATTTTCTCTGCAGATACTTTCTCAGATACATATGCAGAAAGAGTAGTTCTGTTTTTTTTTTTACTATTTGGGTATCTTTCCCTGTGTATGCATGGTTCTAAAACTTCCCATATTTTCACCAAACACTAAATGTTCCTGCTTTAATTTTCAAATATAAGTTATTGTGATAAATGGAAATGTCTGTGAAAGAATGAATTTAAAAGATCTTATTTTTAAATATTTGTGCAACAGTCTTACTAGCCAGGTAATAATGAAAGATCAAATCTATTGGCAAAAACGCTACTCCTCTGGGTTTTACAAGTCGCACTAAAGACGTTTCCAAGACACAGTGAAATTGAGAATCTGCCCTGCTGTTCCGTAGTGGAATAAATAAAAAAATCTCAAATTCAGAAATGTTCACTTTTTTCAGTGCCTTGTTTTTAAAAAAGTGACAGTTTACTTGCTCTATTTAGCTACTTATTTCATAAGACAGAAGGACTATTAAAATTCATATTGAGATGAGCTATATCTGGAAAAGATACTTAGAATTGTTAGGCACTGATTTCTAATCTTGTTTCCTGCACTTTGTTTGTCTGCATGTTAAATAATTTTTAGAGGGGTGGAAGGAAAATATAAATAGATGTGCATTGTCAGAACTGCATTGTAATTCCTCTTGCTATGACATATTCATATTGGTTAGTTTAACTTCAGAAGTCTAAAAATCTCTCACAAACTAGTTTAAATAATGGTGTGAAGGAAGGAGGAAAATGTGTGTGTTGGTAAAGCTATTGTCCCTGGTTGTAGTAAAATGTGTATAGATTGGTATTCTGATATGCACTAAAGTTTTAGATTTAATGTGTCCACTTCATGATGCAGATTGGCTTTCAGTTCTGGAATAAAGGAATCTGAGCACCCTTATACAGCTTCCAATGGGGATAATGATTCTTATGTTATCCAAATCAAAGGAGAGCACTGACAGAATAGGTAACTCCATGAAATTAAAATCCAGTAGCTTCTTAGTTTGAAGTGTCTTTATCAAATGGCATGCTTTGTTGCATATTTTTTTCCTCCGTGAATTAGATATAACTAGTTTTTTAAAAAATATCTATTTTCATAAAGAATAATGTACCTTAAACTATACGTAATTGAGAATGTTTGAGCTATTCTACTGACAAATTATGACTAAATTGTTTCCCCAGAACCACCATTTGAAATTGGAGCTTTAAATTATATATGCTTTCAGGATCATAGATAGCACTCATCAAAAAGGATTAAAGTTGACTTCCCTGTTTCTCTCTCCAACTTTTAAGTAGTTTAAAAAATGAATTTGACATTTTTTGACAAGCTGCTAGGAAAGAGTTGAATCCTAAAGCAATATATAGAAGTTAGTATCTTTGCTTTTATGGAGTTTAAGCTGCCAGGGCTTTCAAAAGTGTTTTCCCCCTGTAGCTTGACAGCTTTTTCAAACTGTTTCCCAAAGTATCTATCAAAATTTGATGCTTTTTTGCACTGTACCTGAAGATTAAACTAGCAGGCCATGAAATCTAGTATTGCGATGCCTTCAGTAAATGTTCTGCCACCAGCTCTCAACAATTCAGAAGTCAAAGTATTCTTCTGTGCTTGGAAGTCTGTCAGGCAGCTACAGGCTAAACCAAGGGGTGGGCAAAATAAAGTCCTGAGGCTTGATCCAGGCTGGTGCTGGAGGAAAATATCCCATAGCCTAGCTGGGCACTCAAGCAGTCTGCCTGCATGTCAAATAGCTACCAGCTGCTGGCGCATGTCTCTGTGTGACCCTATGGGGGAGGTCTCAGCACACTCAGCCAGTCTCAGCACACTGACTCTGCCCCCAGCACCAGTCTCCCTTCCATTGGCTGGAGCTGCAAGGTGATGCTTGAGGGCACAGGCAGTGTGCGGAGACCTGCTGCCTTCTTCCCACTAAAGGGCATGCAGATACATACCCCAACAGCGGCAGCTTTAAGTGGCAATAGGCCACCATGGCATGCAGGCAACTGTGCCTATGGTAAGCACCTCCTGGCCAGGGCCAAATCTTGCACCTGGCACCCTCTGCCACACCCCAATATCGTGCACCAGGTCAGAACCCCCTCCTGAAACTGTACTCCTTCCTGCACACCAACTCCTGCCCAGAGCGCCCTCCTGCACCCAAGCACAATCTCAGACCCCCCTCCATTAATATCACAAAAGTGTGGCCTGTGGCCACTTACGAAAATTTTCGGAGTGGGTCTGCTGCAAAAAGTATTGCCCACCCATGGTCTAAACCGTGTCAGTCTTAAAAAGCTAAATTAGAGGTAGGGGCCAAATAATCTTGAATCTGAATATTCCTGACTAGGAAGGCTTGAAATCCTATCCAGCTCTCAACTTTCCAAGGGTAAACTTGCAGTAAAGATTTTGTTTTGAAATCCTTTCAATATCCTTCTCATTATGGGCAAATAAATGAAATAGAAATGTCTAGGTTAACCAACCTGGAGAATATTCTCTGACGCTACGTCTACATTGGCAAGATTTTGCACAGATAGTTTTAACGCAAGAGTTTTTGCGTTGAAGTGTTTGCGCAAGAGAGCATCTACACTGGCATACCCAGTGAAACTACAGACCGGTCAGTTTAACATCTGTCCCAGGGAAGATAATGGAGCAGGTAATTAAGGAAATCATATGCAAACACTTGAAAGGTAATAAAGTGATAGGGAATAGCCAGCATGGGTTTGTGAAGAACAAGTCATGCCAAACTAATCTGATAGCTTTCTTTGATAGGATAACGAGCCTTGTGGATAAGGGAGAAGCGGTGGATGTCATATACCTAGACTTTAGTAAGGCATTTGATACGGTCTCGCATGATATTCTTATTGATAAACTAGGCAAATATAACTTAGATAGGGCCACAATAAGATGGGTGCATAATTGGCTGGATAACCATAGTCAGAGAGTTGTTGTTAACCTCTAAAAATTTGAAATGTAGGTCAGACCCCTTTGGAAATCTTAGATGTACTCTGTGGACCCCCATGTTGTCCACAGATCACAGTTGAAAAATCACTGTTCTATGGCAACAATGACCTTTTACAGACCCTCATGGACATAGTCTGTGGACGACATGGGTCCACAGGCCTGAAATTGAAAAACACTGGCCTGCACCATTAATGACCCAAGGGAGCCTTATTCTTGAACCTCATTGAAATTTCTTTACATAGTTAAAGAATCTATACTATAAATATTACTGCATCAGAAATAATTTCTGGTAAGTCTTTAAAGTCATTGAGCCAAATTGACTTTAGATACTTGCACACAGCACACTGAATTCAGTGAGAGTTGTACTTGTTAATGTGAAAGCAGGATTTGGACTTTCCTCTTGCGGTATCTATGAGACAATGTATGTGTGCCTGTATCTATAGTGTAGACGCTAAATTCCTTGTATCTTTGTAAAGTAGCCACACTATAAAGCCCTGTATAGACAAAGTGAAAACTGTAGTAGGATACTATGAAGCAACTCCATGGAATATTTGCAATTTCGTAAAAGAAAGGATTTAATGTTCTCCCTTCATTGCTGTACTTTGTAAATTAAATAATCTGGTAATATAAAAATGTATATAGGTACTAGTTCTAGTTATATCTGAGACTAAAAAGCCATTGAAAGTTGTGTTGTGAATGTAATACTATAACCATTTTGAAAGTCTCAGAGAGGTAGCCATGTTAATCTGTAACTAACAAAATTTTAAAAACAACAATGGTCCTGTAGCACCTTAGAGATCCACATGGGTGGATCCTTACAGCTGCTCACAACCCAGCTAAAGTGAAATGTGGGTTCTTCTGCCCACAGATAATATGGCAGGGCTAAGCTGTTAGTGGACTGAGGGCAGATCTACACTGAACCTGGAAGGAAGGCTTAAGGTACACAACTGCAGCTACGCAAAATGCATACTTGGAGTAATCTTACCTTAAGATGAGCCGTGGTGGCGTCCACACTGAGGGAGGCTGACAGGAGCAAAAGCCTCCCATCAGCTTCCCTTACTCCTCACAAAGAGAGGAGCGCTGAACACTGGCAGGAACTGCCTTTAGCATTCGATTTACGGGTGTATACTAGAATTCTTGTGCAAGAGGTACTGATTTCTTACATTATAACATCAGTGTTCTTGCGCAAGAACTCGCAGCCAGTGTAGACAGGCAGCAAATTTTGCGCAAAATCTTGCCGATGTAGACACAGCCACACTATCTATCTATCTATCTATCTATCTATCAATCACACACACACGTCAGACTTCTGTGCCACGAGACGTTGTGGATTAGATTTAGTTATCAAAACTTTAGAAAATAACATTTTATTTTTCTTGTTTAAAAATTGTTACATCCAACAGTAAATGACTCCTTGTTTCTTATAGAAGCAAGTATAGTCAGAAAAAACTTGTGCACATACAAAGGAGGATTAAGGAGCAAAATACTGTCCCTGTATTCATAATTGACTGGAATGTAGGGCTCTGAATTTCCTAGGGAACTACTCACATGCCTAAAGGTAATCAGATCATGCACATGAAAAATATGCAGAATTGGGATCTAGAGTATTAGGCTGAGTTCCATTTTAAGCATCTGTTAAACCAAAATGCAGCTGTACCTTAAAAAGCAATCTTAAAAACATGAGGGAGATTTTCTCTTTATTTCACATATTCCTTTATTATAATTACTTAATTTGCCAGTAGTGTCTTTGTCACCCCTTGCCAGGTAAAGCTTCTAAAGGATAAATTGTCAACATCCATGCTTGTTACTTTCATTACTTCTTTCATCCATTACTTCTAGGATGCATTAACAGGAGCATGGCGAGCATGGCCAGCAAGACAAGAGAAGTCATTCTTCCGCTCTACTCTGTGATGATTAGGCCTCAGCTGGAGTATAGTGTCCAGTTCTGGGCACCAGATTTCAAGAAAGATGGAGAAATTGGAGCGGGTCCAGAGAAAAGCAAAAAAAAATGATGAAAGGTTTAGAAAACATGAGCTATGAGGGAAGACGGAAAGAACTGGATTTTTTTAGTTTAGAAAAGAGAAGGTGGAGAGGAGACATGATAGCAGTTTTCAAGTACCTAAAAGGGTGTTACAAGGAGGAGGGAGAAAAATTGTTTGCCTTAACCTTTGATAATAGGACAAGAAGCAATGGGCTTAAATTGCAACAAGGGAGGTTTAGGTTGGACATTAGGAAAAACTTCCTGTCATGGTTAAACACTGGAATAATTTGCCTAGGAAGTTGTGGAATCTCCATCATTGAAAATATTTAAGAGCAGGTTAGAGACACATCTATCGGGTGATCTAGATCCATGGTATCCAACACACTGGCCACTAGCAACATGTGGCTGGTTGTGTGGGGCTAACTGGTTCACATAATTATTTACATTTTCAGAATAATGTGGCTAGTGTTATAGTGGCTACTGTTTCAGAACTGGTTGAACATCATGTATCTAGATGATGCTTGTTCCTGTCATGAGGGCAGGGGACTGGACTGGACTTGATGACCTCTCAAGGTCCCTTCCACTTCTAGTATTCTATGATTAGCTGTCAGTGGGATTGCATAGGTACAGTTAGAGCCATAATTTGGCTTGCAGAATTGTGCTAATGCTAAACAAGACAGAAGAACCCAGCTGGATGCTCAGATCTCAGCCCTAGTTCATAGTGATGGTACAAACTGAAGTTTGATAGGGAGATCATTGAGTAATGGAGGAACTCTAATTGGCTCATTTTTCTGGCTATGACCATCTAAGCACCCCCACTTATAAACAGATGAGGACTGGAAGAGAGATTTATAAATGATGTATTTTAAATTCTGATTAATTTATGCTGCCTATAAAGGCACGTGTGCAACAAGCTACACTTGTGAACCATCTCCAGGGTGATCTGGAAAAGCTTTCACTGATCACTTTACAATGG